AGTGTGCCCTTATCCATGTCCCAGCAGTAGCCGTGTCCGTGCACTGGGCAGGAGGAGAGCTGGTGACCGGCTTATGGCTTGGCCTTATGTTCAGGAGGGGTGGGGAACAGAATTCGAGACAGGAAGCAGCCCTACCTCCAGAGGACTGACCACAGACAGTGTCCTCTGTGGTCATTGTCCTCTACCCCGTCCCAGGCTCCAGACTGGCTGCCTGCCATTTAGCTTGTCCCCTTGATGGCACCCTCCCCTCTCTTTCCCCAGCGGAGTGGGTGCCGTCCCAGGGCTGGGGGCCTGCTTTCCTGTGGGGGCAAGTTCTGAGCCGGCCCTAAGAGTAGCAACAACATCCGTTGTTGCTGTCGAGCTGCACTGCTCCCAAATGTGCTTGGGATCACATCAGTTCCTTGGCTCAGATGAGGAAATTGAAGCTCTTAAAGGGAAAGTGACTGCCTTGCTGGTAAGTCCAAAAGGCAGTTGCTTTCCAGATCTGCCTGACCCACACACTCTGCTTTGAGGAGCTGCTGGTCTTTAATTTTTGGTCTCAGGCAGGAGTTTATCCACTTGGCCAAGAGTGGAGAGAAGGGAGGGTCTCCTTGTGTAGTCACATAGCCTTGGTTTTGCAAATTGAGTCTTGTGGCATTTTGCCTTAGTACTTAGAGCTGCCCCTGCTGCCAAGCAGCCAGCATGTCCTTCCACATAAAAACAAAGACAAAAGCCAGTCTAAGGTTGGGGGCAGTGGGGCAGACCGATGCTGACTCTCCCATGTGATGTCTTTGTGCAGCAGTCTGTGTCTGCCAAAGGGTCACGGCGGGCACACCTCTCTGCAAGCCCTCCTTTTTTGTCTGGGATCTACCAAAGAGGAGGACAGCTCCACATATGCTTGGAACTAGGTCTTTGTGATTTCACAGCTGTTTGTCTTCTGTTCTGTACCTCCCCCCATATGTGAGGTGGTGGGGTACACATGTCCCCAGACTGTTGGTGAGTGTGCAGGTGGGGTGCTGTGTGGCTGGAACAGGCTCAGAATGTGGTCTTGGAATTAGAGCATGTTTGCATGCACTTACCTGAACTCAAGGGCTGCAAGAGACCCTCTTGTCCCCATACACCACGAGACCGCTTTTTGGGCTGGGGAAGTGGCTGCTTGAATTTATTTTCTTGGGTTGAAGCAGCTATGGCTCTGCTTCATCTCTCCTGGGTTTGGGTTTGCTCCAACAGAGCTTGGGCATGTGGCTGCAATTCTCTCCCATGCTGCCCTGTGTCAAGGGCACAAGGCACAGACTCAGGGGGGCAGGCATTCTCCAGAATTCACTGGGACCAGCATTTCCTCGCAGGGCCCTACTGCAGCACTGTGAGGTGGAGGGAATGCCCAGTTTACTGATAGAGAAACCAAGGCTGAAAGAGGGAAGGAGTACCCAGAGTCACATAGCTAGAATTTAAGACCTTGTGTGCGTATTCTCTGCTAGGCCTGGGCAACCTCTAGGAAAGGGATGGTCAGAGCCAACTTCCTGGTCTGTGGGAAGAGGCAGACCTCACCAGGGCCTACCAGTAGCCTGGCCTTGAGAAAGATCTTTAGCTCCCGAGAGCAGGCATGTGATGCTAGTCCCTGGCCCAGGGCAGGTGGCTCCTCATTAGCCCAAAACCTGTTAAGGAAGCCTAGTCTAGTTCTTCATGAGGGTTTGTGGGCAGTGAAATGCCAGAGACCGGGTCCTCCTCACAACCCAGGCGGTTTATCTTGTCACTGTCTACCATGACCATGCTTGGAATGGTGCTCGCCCTGTCTGAAGCCTCGGCAGCCTTCTCATAGAACTCCGACCTGGAGGGGTTGGGGATGTGAGCACACTTTGGCTCCTGATGGGCGGAATTGGGGTTGTGTTTACAGCCCCCAAGGAGGTCCTCTTTGGTTGGTGTGACTGTGGAGAAAGGGGTCTTTGTCATCAGCAGGCGCCCTACACTCCTTCCCACTATGTCCCCCGGGTTGTGGGATTCTGACCATGTCCTGAGAGACATATTCCTTGGCTCACTCCCCCATCTCCAGCCTAGGCAGGGCCTCTCAAAACGCCCCCCCCCCCCGGCTTTTCTTTTTGAATGTTGTGTCCCCATGATTCTGAGCGGAGACCGGTGCTGGGTCAGTGGTTTTCTGGGATTAGGATGCTGCTCTCCTCCTCTGAACAGTTCTTCCCTCCCCAAGCTCCCAGGTCCTTGGAAGGCTCTCCTGTCCTGCCTTTTCTGTCCCACTGCAGGCCTGACCCAGACCGTGCAGGATGGATCCCACCCCTCAGCCAGGGCGGAGGCTGTGCCTGCTCAGGGCAGTCTCTCGGGTCCCCACACTCAGGAAAGGAGACCCCACTGTATTCTGGGAGGCAGGAGGATGGGGGTGGGGTCAGGACATCACACAGGATGTGGCTTTCAAGAAACTGTAGAGCATCACACCCTGGTGGTGTCCTTTTCTGCCTGCTGTTGGCACTGTAGGCTTGGAGGGCCAAGCAGACGCCTCCTGATGGGGAAAGTACAGAAGTTGGCGGGACTCGGGCGTCTGGCCCCAGTCCGCGCTGTGCCTGCCTGGCCCCTGACTGGGGTAAGAGTTTGTTCTTCTCCCAACCTGATCTCAGTGGAAAGGTGGCCAAGAGCACAAGACAGGCCAGAGGTTCGCTTCGGGCCTTCCAGCGGAGCGAGAGCGGGCGTGGGGAGGGAAGATCTGGAGCCAGCTTCTGCCCGAGGCGCCAGCTGTTCGCTGAGCAGTCGCCATGGGAGGGGGACTCCCTCTGATGATTGGCAGGCATCTTGAGAGGAAGGACACAGGCAGTGGAGCCGCAGTTCCTGGCCTGTGTGCATTTCTGTGCGGCGGTGTGCAAGGTGTGGGGGGGGGTGACAGCAGCTCTGCACCGGAAGAGCATGCCGGTTTCTGTTTCAAAGGGAAGAGTCTGTGGGTTATTCTGCAGTTTCTGGCTTGGGCCTTTCCCCTGTTCAGCTTTCCTTCCATCCTTGGAAACTCTCCTCAGGTCGGTCTTTGTGATTCAATCCCCCCACGCCCCCCACCTCCCCGCTCTTCACTTTGACCTGAGTATAACCCCTTATCTTAAAAACCCCACTTCCATTTTGTTGCTCATTCCAAAGCTCGTGTTCCTACTGCCATGTGTTCATTCAGGAGCCACTGTACAGGCTGTGTCAGATTTCAGGGGAGACGAGCATCTATTCACATAGCACCGTGTGCTGGGTGTGGTTCTTCAGAATGGCACTCCAAGTGGGTCTTCAGTGGGAGAGAATGGCGCCTCGGAGGCGGACAGTCCCCACTAGGGCCCAGGGTGAAATGGGGAGCACTGACTATTCTTGCCCCTGGCTTAGCTTAGTTAGGATGGAGAAAAGAAGTGGGGGCGGTGCAGAAACTGGGGAGGTAGCCACTGAGCCCTGTGGTGAAGGGCCTCAAAGGCCATGAAAGGAACATGTTCTCACTAGGCTGGCCGTGAGCAACCTCAGGAGGAACTGAGTGGGGTCCAGAGGGATCAGAATAATGTTGTAGAAAGATTAAGAAGAGTCGAGGAGAATGACTAGCTAGCTGATGAGGCGAACTAGGGCAGGGCAACTGGCAGGAAAGTCAGGACTTTTGACTGGAGGACAAGGCCTGAGGGGTTTGTTGAGGGCACCGGAGCAGGGCCCAAGTGGAACTGGTAATGTTGGGCCAGAAGTGTGATGCCATTTTTGGAGGTGTGATAGAGAGGGGACAGCTGTGACTGGAGGGATCGGGAGAGAGCCTGGGGGTGTGGACTCCTTGGGACTTTGAAGCCAGAGTGGTTGTGCAGTTTGGGCTGGGAGGGCTTCTGGGGGTGGAAGTGGCCAGGCAGAGTGCTGGCACTGCTGTTCTTAGCTCTAAATCTTCTGGGCCAGTTGGGTTGAGAGCATTTGAAGGGCCTCTAGACCTAAGGGTTGTCTCTGGTGATGGCTGAGACAGGCTCCTTCAGTGGACCCTATCCTCCCCAAGGCTGCCTCCCTTTGTCCAGGCCCCCAACAAGCCCCAGGAGAGAGGGCATCCTTCTCCAGACCTGGGATTTGAATCTGTGCCTGAGCACTCTTTGGGGAGGGAGTCAGAGAGGGAAACAGCACTGATCAGGGCTCCCCCATGGGTGCTTTTAGCTATTATGACTGTGGGCCTTACGCACACCCTCATGATGCTATCACTACGTTTTTTCACAGTTGAAGCAGTGGGATCAGAGGGGTTGTCACTCTGCTGGGACCACACAGTTAATGCAAGGTGGAAGTGGCGTACTCTAGCCAAGACAGCCTCACTCCAGAGTCTGCATGGCTTCTCTCTCGCCCTGCCTTCTAGAGAAAGGCGCTTGAGCCCTGTGCTTTGCAGGTGGTAAAACCGAGACTGTGACAAGGTGATTGACTCACTTGGTGTCGTCTCCCAAGTTCTCCCAGTGACCAAGGCTGGCGTCTGTCATTCAGAACTGTGTGCTTCCCTGATCTGTGTGAGGACCCGGGATCTGCTGCTTTGGGGAATAAGGCATCTTGCTGAGACTTATTTGGGGGTGTCTTTTAGGGTGGGACATTTCAGGGTTGTACCCAGTTCTCTGGACTTGTTTCCTCCTGTGGTTCCTGAACTCCATATGGGCCTGCCCAGCCCCAGTCCTGCTCTTGGGACCTTAGGATTTGGCTTGTGTGCTTTGTGTCAGGAAATGTTCCTCACAGAACAGCCTTTGAGCCCCATGTCTGGAGTCCACCTTTTCCCCAGGTCTGCGTGACCAGCCTGTATTCTCAGCAAGGGAAGATGCCCAGAATGGATGAAGGTCCCTGCTCTCTCGGAGGGCTTTTAGCAAAGGCCTGCTGTTAGACTCAGCCCAGTTCTCTTTGATTGCTGAGAGACTGAGTGGTCTTAGCACTGTCCCTTGAGGAAGTGTCTTTGTGTTTTGGCCCCTTCTTGAGGGAGAGTGGGGTGAGTGGGAAACCAGGTGCCCTTGTTTTGGGGTTGTGACCCCAGCCTGATGTTAGCCACCTCATTGCATTCCTAGTTGACATTCGTGAAATCAAGGAGATCCGCCCAGGGAAGACCTCAAGAGATTTTGATCGCTACCAAGAAGACCCTGCTTTCCGACCAGACCAGTCGCACTGTTTTGTCATCCTGTATGGAATGGAATTCCGCTTGAAGACCCTGAGTCTGCAAGGTGGAAGTCAAGGGCCTGGAGGAGGTAGAGGGTGGTTAGGGGCATGTCCGCTGGCTCCCTGCCAGTGGGAGGTATGTATCCTGGCTGAGTGGTTTATCCCTGCCCACAGCTACTTCTGAGGAGGAAGTAAACATGTGGATCAAGGGCTTAACCTGGCTGATGGAGGATACGTTGCAGGCAGCCACACCCCTGCAGATTGAGAGGTAAGAACCACTCCTGACATGGTTTGGGTTGGGGCACAGGTATTGGACCCAGGGAGCAGGGACAGGGACGCAGGTGTCCTGGCCCAGACATGGCCTGCTGGAGTAGTAGTGCTCATTCTGGCTTTCTCTCTCTCCAGGTGGCTGCGGAAGCAGTTCTACTCGGTGGATCGGAATCGTGAGGACCGGTATGTAGTAAGCTGTGGCTCTACCTAGCACGGTGGGTTGGAGCAGCCAGGACAGTAGCCATGCCTGGGGCCTTCTGCCCAGAGAACCAGGAGGCCCAAAGGCCCCGGCTCAGATGGGGCCAGCAGTGAGCAAGTGGTTTTGACCCAGGTAGCTTTCTGCAGAAAGCCCTCTGATAATCTTGATGCAGGCTGGTGAGAGGGACCTAGACAGTGTGCTTTGTGCCCTACCACTGTGTACAGAGACAGAAGGTGCTGAATTAGCTCTTAGTGTCCTGGAAGTGAGGGTCAGGGTGGCCTGTAGTGTTTGGGAAGAGGGGGGAAGGCCTTGAAGCTCACAACTTTGAGGCTGTGGAGTGGCAGCCAGGGGTCAGGGAGAGATGGCAAGGACCTTCGGCTGTTGCTATGAAAAAGAGAGTGACATGACCTGACTTCAGTTACGAGGGCTGCTGTCTGCTCTTGGAGAGCCCGGGGCAGGCCAGAGCCGGAGAGCTCAGTTAGAAAGCCGCTTCCACACCCTGGGGATGGATGAGTGGGTTGGCTCAGGGTGAAGCTGATAGGAAGTGGTTGGATTTTGATGGTGCTGAGTTTTGAAGATAGAGCCTAATAGAGTTTCCTAGCAAATTGCTTTTGGGGTGTAAAGCAAGAGCGGAATTGAGGACAGTAGGCTTTTCGCTTGAGCATGTGGAACAGTGAGTTGCCACTGACTGAGCCTTTCCATGGAACGCCTGAGTTCATTTATGTTGTGTCCATTTTATGATGCTCTGAGACCTCTAGGCAGAGGCACTGATGGCACCTTCCAGGAGGGAAAACTTCCTTTTCCTTCCATCTCTTCTGTCCTGTTGCCGGGCCCAGCTGTGGCCCTCAGTCCTGCATCCTAGAGGGACCCTTCCCACTCAGACCCCCAGAGAATGCTGTCGCCAGCATGTTAGTTTACTGAGAACGACCTTCCTCCACGCAGTGCCTGGTGCTGAGGACCCAACGCCCAGCTTCCCGGGGGCAGCACCGCCGAGCACCACCCCCCACTGGGAGTGTTCAGTGTGCCCCATAGGAGCAAGCGGCTGGTTGCCTGTCCTGGGGTGGGGCCAACAGTCACCTTGGGGCGCTGAGGGACCAGAGCCACAGGCTTACCCTGTGTTGGGGGGAGGGCCGGGGAGGGGGGTTTTCCTCCCCGCCCAGGCCTGACCCACTTCACTGAGCCCGGTCCCTCCTTCCTTGCCAGAATCATGGGCTTTACTCTGCTGAGATGAGGCGACTCAGGCCCAAGGAAAGGGAGGGACCTCCTTGGCCCCTTGGGTTCCAGCCTCACTCTAGGACACCAGCTCCCAGAGTAGTGTTGTGCTGACCTGTCCAGCCCCAGGTCAAGGTCATGAGAGATTGGGCAAAACCATGGGATGTCCCTGTGTCCTCAGTATATCAGCGAAGGACCTGAAGAACATGCTGTCCCAGGTCAACTACCGGGTCCCCAACATGCGCTTCCTCCGAGAGCGGCTGACGGTAAGGGCCGAGTACAGGCTGGGTAGGGGAGGCCAGGAGTCCCGGCCGGTGGGCTGACCAGCCGTCCTGCCCTCCACCACGCAGGACCTGGAGCAGCGCAGCAGTGACATCACCTACGGGCAGTTTGCTCAGCTGTACCGAAGCCTCATGTACAGCGCCCAGAAGACGGTGCATGAGCCACCTGCCCTCCCACGGCCCTTGCCCCTGCTGTCCCGCCCCAGCCCCCGCCCTGCTCGCCTCAGCCCTGCTGTCCTGCTTGGGGGCTTTTGGGCGCCATTTCTTCAGCTCTTCTTCTTTTGAGGCCTTACCCCATCTGCCTCCCCAGCCTCTTCCTGAGCGCCCCCTTCCCACGTGGCCTCTTCTTGGGGCTCTCACTCTGACCGGCTTCTGTCTCCTGCAGATGGACCTCCCCTTCTTGGAAGCCAGTGCCCTGAGGTTTGGTTTGAAGTGTGGAGGGGGGTTTTCCTTAAGGGGCTCCCTTCGGCTCTTCCCCTTGGTGATTCCCAGTGCAGGCGGGAGGCGGCGGGGGGAGACAGGCCATGCTGGACCCTTTTGGGCCACTCTGCTGGTGGGGAACGGGGCTCTACCTTCCACGCACCCCATGTTGTCTGTGGGCCATTTCAGGCATTTCCCTTCCTTCCTGCAGGGCAGGGGAGCGACCTGAGCTTTGTCGAGTGTCCCTTCCTGAGTTCCAGCAGTTTCTCCTCGAGTACCAGGGGGTATGGCTGGCTTGGGACTGGGACAGGTTGCCCCACTGAGCAGGCTGGCCCCATCCCTGGAGGTGTCTCACATCCCCACTCCCGTTAGGAGCTGTGGGCTGTCGACCAACTCCAGGTACAAGAGTTCATGCTCAGCTTCCTGCGAGACCCCCTACGGGAGATCGAGGAGCCCTACTTCTTCCTGGATGAGGTGAGCCCCGCCTTTGACCCCTCGTCAGAGAGAATGGGCGGCTGGGACTGACCAAAACCCGCTCTCCCTCCCCCCAGTTCCCAGGAAGTGGATGACCCCCCACTGTCCGCCTTGCCTGCTCCAGCTGAGACCACATCCCTGTCTGCGCCACACACACACACACACACACACACACACACACACACACACACACACACACACACACACACACACACACCCCACCCCACCCCCCCGCCCTGCGCCTCGCCTCTGGAACTCATTTTCTCTCCCCTTCTCCGTTTGTTCCTGGATAGTTCGTCACCTTCCTGTTCTCTAAGGAGAACAGTGTGTGGAACTCGCAGCTGGATGCTGTGTGCCCGGACACCATGAACAACCCTCTGTCCCACTACTGGATCTCCTCCTCACATAACACGTGAGTGGCCCTCGTCCCCCCCAGCCTGACCTCGGGAGGGAGGGGTGTGCCTGACCGCCCCTGCCTGTCCTTCCCTCTCCAGGTACCTGACGGGGGACCAGTTCTCCAGCGAGTCTTCCCTGGAGGCTTACGCTCGCTGCCTGCGCATGGGCTGTCGCTGCATTGAGTGTGCGTGGGGTTCAGGGCTGGGGAGGAACTGGGGAGGCCTGCCTGCTTGACCGTGGGCCTGTCGCTCCCCAGTGGACTGTTGGGATGGCCCAGATGGGATGCCGGTCATCTACCACGGACACACCCTCACCACCAAAATCAAGTTCTCAGACGTGCTGCACACCATCAAGGAACATGCCTTCGTGGCCTCAGAGTGAGTGGGCTTGACCCGGCTCTCAGTCCTAGGACAGCAGGTCGCCTCAAATGCCCTGTCCCCTTGCCTTTTTGTTTCCATCCTCCCTCTTGGCCTCTCCTCCTCTACTGCTGCCTGAGCCCTGGCTTCCCAAGTTGTCCCTGTTCCCTGCAGCCATGGCCCGCCTATCTTCATGGATCCTTCTCTTTAGCCTGTGGAACACCATCAGGCTCTTCCCATCCTTCAGAGATACTTCAGGCCATTGTTCTGCCAGCTCCTTTCCCTTTACAGCCCAAAGAATTGTCAGCTTTGCCTGCCCTCCTGCAGTTCCTGTTCACCCCTTTTCTGTGGTTACTGGGCTTCAGACACCTCCCTGAAGGGATCACCAGGGGCCCCTAGCCTCTCCTGCCCTCCTTGGTAGGCTGTGTCTTGCACAGCTGGGGCACCCTCCATAATTGAACCAACCCTGGCGGCGTCCCTCTGCAGCAGACTCAGCCCTTATCCCCACCGCACCCAGAGCTGCCTTGTACAACCTCCATCTTTCCAGAGCCCAGGACTGACCTCTATTTTTGCATTAGCTCCCATGTAGACAGGGCCCTCGACTCCTAATACCTCACTTTTGGCAGAGCTGTTTGGATTGAGCCTTGACCTACAAAACGGCAGGGTGTGTGTCACTGCATTGGCTCCTGCCCTGCAGGTATCCGGTCATCCTGTCCATCGAGGACCACTGCAGCATTGCCCAGCAAAGGAACATGGCTCAGTACTTCAAGAAGGTGCTCGGGGACACGCTCCTCACCAAGCCCGTGGACATCGCTGCCGACGGGCTCCCTTCACCCAACCAGCTCAAGAGGAAGATCCTGATCAAGGTAGGGGTGGAGGCCGGTGGGGGCACCCCCTTCCCAGCGCCCCTCCCCGACCACAGCTCCAGCTTTCACTCTAGGCCTGGGTGAAGGGGTGAAGGCCCTTAGGACTGGGGCTGGCATGGCCATGTCCTTGACTGTCTCCCACAGCACAAGAAGCTGGCGGAGGGCAGTGCCTACGAGGAGGTGCCCACGTCTGTGATGTACTCTGAGAATGACATCAGCAACTCCATCAAGAATGGCATCCTTTACCTGGAGGACCCTGTGAACCACGTGAGGGCAGGGCCAGGTGGGGCCGGGCAAGGTGATGAGAGAGCCCTGGGTCCTAAGCCTGGCTCTGGTCTCTTCCAGGAGTGGTATCCCCACTACTTCGTTCTGACCAGCAGCAAGATTTACTACTCCGAGGAGACCAGCAGTGACCAGGGCAATGAGGATGAGGAGGAGCCCAAAGAGGTGAGAGGTCAGCCCAACACCAGGGGCCGGGCGGGGGTCATGGTCACGAGCATCTTTGCTCTCGCCCTTCCCCTCACAGGCCAGCGGCAGCACAGAGCTGCACTCCAACGAGAAGTGGTTCCATGGGAAGCTGGGCGCCGGCCGGGATGGGCGGCACATCGCCGAGCGCCTGCTCACCGAGTACTGCATCGAGACAGGGGCCCCCGACGGCTCCTTCCTAGTGCGCGAGAGCGAGACCTTCGTGGGCGACTACACCCTCTCTTTCTGGTAACGCACCCAGCTCGTGTGCATGGAGCTGCAGCACTACCCAGACATCTCCACAGCCCGTTTGCTGCCCCGGGCGTGCACGCGAAATGCTTCCCCACATGCACACACTCATTTTGGGTTACTGGGCAGGCCTGACCTCAGACCCGTGCTCCTTAGTGGGTTCCCCTCAGCTTGAGATTTGGTGCCTCCTTTGGGGTGAGCTGGGAGTGCAGGGCTCTGGCCTACTTCTCACTGTGTCCCCATCTTCTCTAGGCGGAACGGAAAAGTCCAGCACTGCCGGATTCACTCCCGGCAGGATGCAGGGACGCCCAAGTTCTTCTTGACAGATAACCTCGTCTTTGACTCGCTGTATGACCTCATCACCCACTACCAGCAGGTGCCCCTGCGCTGCAACGAATTTGAGATGCGCCTCTCAGAGCCTGTGCCACAGACCAACGCCCACGAAAGCAAAGAGTGAGGGCGGGGGCGGGGTGGGACGGGGGCCTGGTGGGCGAGGGGCCTGGGGGCTGACTCAGGCCTGTCCTCAGGTGGTACCACGCGAGCCTGACTAGAGCGCAGGCCGAGCACATGCTGATGCGTGTCCCTCGTGATGGTGCCTTCCTGGTGCGGAAACGGAGCGATCCCAACTCGTATGCCATCTCCTTCCGGTGAGGGGTGTGGCCCTGAGGTGCTGGGGAGGGCAGGAGTGCAGGCTCTGCCTCCGTCTGGGCTGCCCTGTGTGACTTCTGTTTTTATCAAGGGCTGAGGGCAAGATCAAGCATTGCCGTGTCCAGCAGGAGGGCCAGACAGTGATGCTGGGCAACTCGGAATTTGATAGCCTGGTGGACCTCATCAGCTACTATGAGAAACATCCCCTGTACCGCAAGATGAAGTTGCGCTATCCCATCAATGAGGAGGCGCTGGAGAAGATTGGCACAGCTGTGAGCACCTCAAGGCTGAGGGGGCATGGCACGCAGGGGGGAGAGTCAGTTGAATCAGCGTGGCCCCCCAGAAATGCTCGGGCTAGCTGCTGGGCACCCCAGTCTATTAGTCATTGAGTGATCTGGCTGTGTGGGACAGAAGGCCACTTAGACCAGCGGGGAGTCACGGTGTGGGTGCCAGGAAGGTGTCCTAATAGAGCAGCCCTGTCTGGATGGACAGGGGTTAGGCAGGTGCAGAATGGGGGGAGAAAGCCCTCTTGAGCTGAGGTGTAGGATGAGGACATCCTGGAGTTTACACAAGGAGAGGGTAGGCCGGAGACTGGACGCTGAGCCAGCCAGACTGGGCTTGCGGAGGGGAGCCCAGTGCAGGGGAGGGGAGGGTTACATGGGGGAGGCTAGTGAGGAAAGCAGGCAGGGCTCATGGCCCTGGCAACCCGGGCTCTGGACTGGGTTCACGGCTTGCACAGAGGAGGGCGTGTGGACGGAGAGCTGACTGAGTGGCCAGGGAGGGGGCGCTCTGCTGGGGTGAGGGGGGAGGAGAGCAGGCGCGTGTGCTGTGGAATGAGGGACTCAACAGGCACGTTGAGGAACAGGAATTTGAGTCGTGAGGCGGGCCTGGAGGACACAGCGGTGGAGGAAGGGGGGGAGAGACCGGTCCCTGAGTCCATCCCATTGCGGTTAGGGGACGCCAGTGGAACAGGTGCCAGTGAAGGGGGCAGATTTGGTGGCCTGGAGGTGCACAGGGGGAGGGAGCATGTGGCAGCTCCGGCTACTCTTCCTCTCTGGGGCGTTGGCACATCTCCGCTGTCCCCTTTCCAGGAGCCAGACTACGGGGCCCTGTATGAGGGACGCAACCCTGGTTTCTATGTGGAGGCAAACCCCATGCCAACTTTCAAGGTACAGACTCTGGGTACAGGAAACTGGGGACGGTCCCCCGCTCCTTGGGGCTTGCATGTCTGTGCTTACGGCCTATCTGTGGTCTTTGTGGAGAAGTGGTGTTTGTGGTTTTCCGAGGCCTGAGAGGTGATGAGAGATGTGTGGTTAGCGTATGACCGCAGCTCTCCCGGGGCCGACCCCCACCCCGGCCTCTGTCCCAGGCGCCACACTGACCTTGCAGGCTACTCCTCCGGGTAAACCCCCATCTCCTTGGGGCAAAAGCAGGACAGGGGCAGGCACATTGATTAGAAAAGTTTGTTCTTTGCCACTTACTCCCTTGCCTCATAGTGATCTGTTAGAATCTCTAAGGGGACAGGAGTATGGAGCTGTATGCCTTCCCATTCGTGGCCTGCAAGCCAAGGATCAGTGTCTTTTCCACTTTCCAGAAAAGGGATGATGGGGTCCTGCCATACCCACAGTTCTGGGTCCCAGGGAGGCACTCGGCACCAGCAGACATTCCCAGGCCTCTCCATTCCTGACCCTTGGGGAACAGATTCAAGATTCTCCCGGTGTCCCGGGGTGGCAGCTTTTGTGGCAGAGACTGGCTCGGCCCCAGGGCTGTTGCTGGCAGTAGCGCCTGCACAAGCTCCCAGCACATGTATGCACCCTGAGGCCCGGCCAGGAGTGTCTGGGAGGCGCTGTCTGTGGTGACTGGCACTACTCACCTCTACAGTGTGCGGTCAAAGCCCTCTTCGACTACAAGGCCCAGAGAGAGGATGAGCTGACTTTCACCAAGAGCGCCATCATCCAGAATGTGGAGAAGCAAGAGGGAGGCTGGTAGGCCGGGTCCTGGAGCGCCTGTGGTGTGGTGGGCTGTGGGTGCCAACCCAAGAGTGTGCCGGAAGCATGTCTGTGGACACGGCCCCCACGTGTGCACCAGCAGCGCCCTCCATGGCCTGGTTTAGGTGCAGAACCCCTGACAAAGAACACCTTCCTCGGGGGAGTTTGTGGTGGTGCTGGGGGTCAGTACTGTGGCTCCCACAGGTGGCGGGGGGACTACGGTGGGAAGAAGCAGCTGTGGTTCCCGTCCAACTACGTGGAGGAGATGGTCAGCCCAGCAGCCCTGGAGCCTGAGAGGGAGGTGAGAATGGGGCCCTGCTGGCTGGTGGGGTTCTCATCCTGATTCTCCTCTTGTCTACACACCTGTTCTGTGCCCTGTGATATTCACCGGCTCCAGGGTGCATGTGCCATGTTTGTTGAGTCACATGGACACTTTTTTTTTTTTAAGATTTATTTATGCATACAGGAGCTGGGGTAAAGGCCAGAGGAGCGGGGAGCAGAATAGGCAGATCGACTGAAGTACACTGCTGAGGGGAGCAGCGGGCGAGACAGGAGAGGTCTGCTGCGCCATGTGGGTAGCTCCCTGGCCAGCCTGGGGTGGAACTCGTGCTGCAGAGGCTGCGGACAGCTTCACAGCGCTGTGCTCAACTGCTTGTGCCACCAGGACGGCCCATAAGATGTATTTCTCCCTCACGTGTATGCCGCAGGCGTGCTCACAAACACTTGGCCTTGCTTCCCACAGCACTTGGACGAGAACAGTCCCCTGGGGGACTTGCTGCGGGGTGTCTTGGATGTACCGGCTTGTCAGATTGGTGAGCCCTTCCTCCTTTTTCCTCATCCATCGGCCTTAGGGTCAGGGTTTCCTTTGTGACTCCACGCTCCAGTGAGGAAGCCCCACATGCCACCCTCACTCTGAGCTCTCCCTGGACTTGGACACCCCAGCCTCCTCCCTTCCTTAGCCCCAACTTTGACCTCTTGCTGCTCCCCGAGCCAGGCACTGTGGATGCTGATGACTTGCTGACATCCACAACCTAATGGGTTGGGTCATGGGGTGTGCTTGAAGGTAGGGCCCTGACCCACTGCTCCCTCCCCACTTGTCTGTGAGCCGCATTGGCCTCAGCTGTAAGGTGGGCCTGGCAGACCAGCACCATCTCCTCCTCACCCGTGTGGGGAAGAGGAAGGTAATGAGCGGTCATTTGAGCCAGTGCCTGGGTTGCAGAACAGGGGCCCTAGAACTCTCTGCTCCCAGCAGTTGTCTCTTCGCTCTCCTAGCCATCCGTCCCGAGGGCAAGAACAGCCGGCTCTTCGTCTTCTCCATCAGCATGGCGTCGGTGGCACACTGGTCCCTGGATGTTGCTGCCGACTCACAGGAGGAACTGCAGGACTGGGTGAAAAAGATCCGAGAGGTGGCCCAGACTGCCGATGCCAGGGTGAGGACCTGCCGGAGCCCGGGAACATGCTGGGTGGGGTCAGCCTGCCCGGAGGGGTTCACGCCTCCAGCTCCTGCCCCCGAGAGTAGCTCAATCTCAGGTGTCGCAGCTTCCACTGGTAGGCAGGGATCGGAGGAGACAGGCTGACGGCAGCATGGCCTGTTGCGTGTGTGCTAAGTTTGAGCTGTGTGGGGCCAGGCAAGTGGCCAGCTTAGTGGGTGGTCGGGTACACAGGTGGGGCGGTGAGAGGGGGAGTCCTGGGCTGGAAGCGGAGGTGGTACAGAGTGAAGGTGTCGGTGGTGAGGAAGCGGCAGCTGGGGGGCGGGTAGAGGTAAAGAGGCTGGATTTGGTAGCAGCGAATGACCCTAGTGACACTAGCGAGGGTAGGGTCAGTCACAGCCAGGGGTGCATGGCAGTGGGCAGTATCGAGTGGTGAGGGCACGCCTGCTGGGACCGGAGCCGGCGCTCACGCTGACCGCTGAAGGAGCTGGCGGAGGCAGGAGATGGAGCCCGAGCTTGGTTGGAAGGACCAGCCGTCCACAGCGAGAGTTGTCCGCGGAGCTTGCAGGAACAGCAGGAGGGAGGCGGTCACCCTGGGAAGGGGGCTCCTCTGGACGCTCCTTTCCTCCTGGTCATTTGGTGTAGGGAGGGGCTGCTTGAAGAGTGGCAGCTACACGCCACGCAGAGCGGCAGAGAAGGGATGGATGCTAAGGATTTTCCAGGGCTGTGGCCTTGGAAGCACACGGTATTGGGGGTGGGGGGATTCGGCTGTAAAGGGAAGAGAGAGTGAGCATAGGCACCCCGGCGGGGAGAAAGCCAGCCTCCCGAGGTGTGGAGATCGGCGGGGTTTTTGAGGGCCTTCGGAACTGAGGCTTGGCCTCAGCCTGCCTACTTGGTCAGGAGGTGGCTGCGTGGGATAAAGGGGAGGGGAGGTGGGGGGCTGTGGGGCCAGGGTGGTGGGAGGAAGATGCTGCGAGCACAGAAGTCCAGGAAACCAGAGGCGGCCTTCTTGCTGGAGAGCCTGCTTGCTCCTGAACGGTGACAAAACGTCACTGGGGTGTGGGGGCAGAGGAGGAGGATTCTGGGGTGAGGCTGAGGACAGAAGGCTCTCACTTTCCAGTGAAGACGGGGGGCCCAGAGCACCCACTGTGGATGCGCTCTGGCCCGGGGCTACAGTCGTGTGTGTGTCCCCAGCTCACCGAGGGGAAGATGATGGAGCGCAGGAAGAAGATTGCCCTGGAGCTCTCGGAGCTCGTCGTCTACTGCCGGCCTGTGCCCTTCGATGAAGAGAGTAAGGGGGGGCTGGGGGTGGGAGGTGCAGGTTCTCTCCATGGCTGGCATGTGCTGGGGGAGTGTTTAATCCCTTATCCCAGGGTTGCTGGGGCCGAGCCCCCGGCACTCTGGGGTCCAGCCTGTGAGTGTTCTCCCTGTTTGACCCAGAGATTGGCACGGAACGAGCCTGCTACCGGGACATGTCGTCCTTCCCGGAGACCAAGGCTGAGAAATACGTGAACAAGGCCAAAGGCAAGAAGTTCCTGCAATACAACCGGCTGCAGCTCTCCCGCATCTATCCCAAGGGCCAGCGGCTGGACTCCTCCAACTACGACCCCCTGCCCATGTGGATCTGCGGCAGTCAGCTCGTGGCCCTCAACTTCCAGACCCCAGGTGAGGCGATGCCCTTTGGACTGGGGTGAGGCAGCTCCCTGAGGGGCGGGTGGGCTGGAGTCTGTCATCTGACTCTTCCAGACAAGCCTATGCAGATGAACCAGGCCCTCTTCATGGCCGGCGGGCACTGCGGCTACGTGCTGCAGCCCAGCACCATGCGCGAGGAGGCCTTTGACCCCTTCGACAAGAGCAGCCTCCGTGGGCTGGAGCCGTGCGCCATCTGCATCGAGGTGGGTGCTGCTCTGGGCTTCCTGGCGGGAAGGGGGCTGTTTGTGCTGTGCCGGCTGGGGTCCTGGGTGGTTCTTGATGTTGAGGACTTAACTGTCCCTCGAGGCAGAAGGGCAGCTCAGGCCTCCATCGTGAGTGAAGCTGAACTCCCAAGTGGCACAGGCCAAGCAGCTGGACTAAACGTGGCTGGGTTTTGGCATGAAGGAGTTGGCTGCCCAGGGAGGCCAAGCTGCGGGCAGCCCCCGCCTGGGAGAAGAGCAGGAAGGTGGTGGCAGTGGTGAGCCAGGGGCCTGTGCCCAGGAATGAGGGTCTCTGAAGCACTTACCAGACCGGGGCTTAGACCCACCTGCCCCCCTCGAGGTCCCAGGGCTCCCATTGCTGCAGTCCTGAGTGCCAGGGCCTCCTGGTGAAGGCCGCGCCATCCCTGTGCGGTGCTGTGGGCTTGTGGTTGGGCAGGGCCTGGGCAGCGTCCTAGCGCAGTGAGCTGTGCTGCTTCCCAGAGAGGAGAGTTTCATGTTAAAGCAACATGAAGTAAACTACAAAACTCGCGTGTGACGTGGGAATTTTGTCTAAATCTAAATGAATTTCTGTTGGTGGCAGCTATGCTTAGAACCCTGCTGCCGGGGCTGTGTCCTGGGGCCCAGCAGGGGGCGCACTGCCTCCACTGTGCAGAGGGGACTCAGCGTGAGCAGGAAGGACAACCCAGGGCCCATCTTTGCCCACCTCACAGGTGCTGGGAGCTCGGCATCTGCCGAAGAACGGCCGAGGAATCGTGTGTCCTTTTGTGGAGATTGAGGTGGCTGGAGCCGAGTATGACAGCACCAAGCAGAAGACAGAGTTTGTGGGTAAGTCTGTCTCCCCCACTCACCGTCTCCAGTGAGGCACTGAAAGCCCCTCTTTGCCAGTGACCTCACCCTGTCTGGCGGGAGCCTGAGGCCTTTGGCGCTTGCTTTTGCAGTGGACAATGGATTGAACCCCGTGTGGCCGGCCAAGCCCTTCCACTTCCAGATCAGTAACCCTGAATTCGCCTTCCTGCGCTTTGTGGTGTATGAGGAAGACATGTTCAGCGACCAGAACTTCCTGGCACAGGCTACTTTCCCGGTGAAAGGCCTGAAGACAGGTGGGCCCCTTCCTGAAAATGAAGCCCCCCACGACCTGGTCTGGGGGACGGGGGTTCCTGGCCCCCTGCTGGGCTTCCTTCTGGACTGAGGGCCAGGCCCTCCTCCTCCCTCCTCTAGGGTACAGAGCAGTGCCTTTGAAGAACAACTACAGCGAGGACCTGGAGTTGGCCTCCCTGCTTGTCAAGATCGATGTTTTCCCTGCGAAGGTAAGTGGGCGGGGGAGAACCGGGGTGGGGGCGGGGAGGCCGGGCCCGGTGCTCACCAGGTGCCGACGGCTCTGCGTTTGCCCTTGTCGAAGCAGGAGAACGGCGACCTCAGTCCCTTTGGTGGTACATCCCTGCGCGAGCGGGGCTCCGAGGCCTCAGGTCAGCTGTTTCACGGCCGGGCCCGGGAAGGCTCCTTTGAAGCCCGTTACCAGCAGCCTTTTGAGGACTTTCACATCTCCCAGGAGCATCTCACAGACCATTTTGACAGTCGGGAAAGAAGGTGAGGGGACAGAGCTTGGGCACACGCTGTGAGGCTGGGGACAGGCAGCAGTTCCTTAGGCCGCCGCCTCTGCTGTCCTCTCTGCGGGGTAGGAGAGTGAGGCCTGTCTGGCTTTGGACTGTCCCACGGGGCTGTGCGTCAGCATGCTCTGTCCCTCTCTCCAGGGCCCCACGGAGGACTCGGGTCAGCGGAGACAACCGCCTCTAGTGGCACCAGCTCGCTGAGAGCAGCAGGTGCTGCACGCCTCGTGGAATGCCGTGACCGGCTCCTTTGGAAGCGGCCTGCCGCGGAGCCCTCCTGGTCTCGCAGCCGGGAGCCTGATTCCAGCAGTGAATGCTAGACGAAAACCAAGCCATTAATGAGATGTATTACTGTTTTGGGCCTCCATGCCCCAACTCTGGGTGAAGGCAAAAACTGTACCGTGTCTCGCATTAAGCACACACATCTGGCCCTGACTTCTGGAGACGGATCGTTCTGCCTCGGGCCGGGACCATGGCCACAGCCCCTTGGAGAGAGAGGCTGCCTCAGCTGGTGGTGCAGGAGGCCCTGAGGAGCCGCTGACATTCCTGTGTGGCGGAGAGCAGCAGCCTCTCTGGGCCAGGGCAACAAACAAAGTTTACATTGTCCTGTAGCTTTAAAACCACAGCCGGGCAGGGTGGGAGGGTAAAGCCCCCCAAGTTTGGCCCTGGAGCCAAGTCAGAGGAGCGCAGGGCCTGCCTGGAGAGGGCCTCTGCCTGCCCCAGGAGGAGGACACAGCACAAGGGCACGTTGCCCACGGCTGGGGACGCATCCCAGCCTGAAAGATATAGGGGATCGTGTTAAAAATAGCAGTATTATTTTTCTTCTCAATGGCATTGTAACTTAAGTTATTCATTCCTCCTGCCCCTTGCCCTTGGAGGGAAACCGGAGCAGAGCCTTTGAGGGGAGCGCGGCAGACGGGCCTGCCGAGTCGGGAGAGGTTCAGTTTGGGGAGCTACGGCACTAGCAGTGGGGTAGGGGTGGGAAGAAAAGAAATAGCAAAGCCGATTCTGGTGAGGTTTTTTTGGGGTTTTTTGTTTTTTTTTTTTTTTTTAAGGCGACAACTACTCAACATGCTTTCCCTTAGGAATAAACGAGGGCTTGAGGAGTTGTCTGCCTGAGGGGTAGGCGGGGAGACAGGCAGGTGCTGAATGAAGCTGCTGCACGCGTGGCAGTCTGTGTAGCCAGTGGAGAGACCCAGGGAAGGTTGGGAGGGCTGTCCCTACCTCTGAGGGCAGAGGCTGGGGTCCAGGCCCAGGGGCGCAAAGGCGCCTCCAGAGCATAGCCAGCATTCAGCACACGCAAACCCACTGCCCGGGTGTGGGCTCAGGGTTGGCCATTTGCTAGTTCTGCTGCCCTCTTTAAGATCTGACTGCCAAATAAATCATCCTCATGTCCTTTTTCCTTTAATTCGTGTGCTTTTGGGGGGGCTCGGGAAGCCGTTGTCTGGAGCTAAGGACAGTTGCCTCACAGTTCTCCAGCAGAAGCAAGTTGGAAGATTTTGCTAACTTACGGGTCAAGCAGGTCTTCCCTCCTCCGGGCCCAAAGGCAGTGTGAGGCCACCCTTGCCAGCCCATCCGCTGTCAGGCTGATGACATGCAGCCACCTGAAAACAAGCCCAGGTTTCTGACGAGCCAGCTTTGCTCGTGACCCCCCCAGCTCCACAGAAACCTGTCAGAAGTGTCGCATCAAGCATGGAGTGTTGGTGCCATTTCAGTCACCTCTGCATCTTGTGCTCAGAGCGTGGCTGAAAGGCCCTTCCCTTCCTGTGGCTCTTCACAGCACTGTGCTGGGGAGGAGGAGAGAGAGAGAGGTACTCGCTGGGTGGGTGGGGCCGGGCCCAGGGAGCCTGAGATGATGCAGGTGAGGGGAACAGCGGGCTGTTGACAGTCATGGGTACCCTGGCAGATGGCGCACCTTCCCCACAGCGTGGGCGGGTGGTATTGGAGAAACCAGCTTTGGTTCAAGACAAGCCCAAGGTGGCTCTGGAGAAGCAGGTTTAAAGTGTCTTTTCCCACATTCAGACTTGGGGCCAGTCCTGACTCACTGTAGGCCCCTCCGCACCAGCGACTTGGAGACCTGGGGTCACGGTTATAAATGTTTCCCGTCTCCCACCGACATAGTCTAGCAGCATCAAACAGTGCCAACACGGGCTTGTGGCCTCCTGGCTCACTTCCCAGGAGGGATTCTCAACTGCAGGAGGTGTCAGGTGGGAATTTACCTGGATTTTCTTGATCTCCGCTTTCCTGCGTCAGTCGTCTAGCTTTCCCGAAATCAATGAGGACGAGGTTCTGTGCCCCGTGTCCTGCTGGGAGCTGGGTGTGCCCATGACATCTTTGGTCTCAGTCACTTAATCGGTACATACCTCCATGTCCTGAGGTTCTGGAACCTCACCTGAGGAGGTGTGGCCGTCCTCCCTAAGGCAGCTTTGTCCGTCTGAGGCACGCCCATCTCGGATCCTTCTTCCTAGTAGAAAACGTGTCAACCAAAGTCAAGCAAATTCATGGTTCAGTTTCAACTCAGTTTCCTCTAAGCAAACCTGATGATTGCTGACTTGAGGCCCATGGGGTGGGGGGGCTAGCTTGAGCCAGTACCACCCACCCCACCCCACCCACTCCCCCCACCTGCCACCCCCACCCCCCAACACACACAGCACTCCTCTGGGATGCTTCTGGAAAATCCCAACATTGGGGGCCCGGCACAGTATTTTTCAAACGTTCCCAGTTGGCTTCAGGTTCCACACCAGCTTGGTCTGGCTTCAGCGTCCTCGCTCAGGATGCCTGATGCCTCCAGATTTGACTCAATTTGACTTTGTCTCTGCAGCGGAATCTCCAAGCCATCACTCTTCTTCACGTAACAGCCAGTACAGCGGCGCAGCTGCGGGGATCGGGGAGGTGGCGCTTTTCTCAAGGGAGCCCAGGGAAACGGCCCCTAAACCGGCGCTCCCGGTCTGTCTTGCCCATAGGCTGAACCAGATGTGCTTTCCTTTCAGACCCCACAGAAGAAAATCGGCCAATGTGAAATGCATTTACATTTTTATTTAAGAACAATCAAAAGATTTGAAGTACCGTTTCCGCCCGTTTCAAATAGTACAAGCAGTTTGTCCCTGTCCCCCTCCCTTATCCAAATCCACAGATACAAAATCTAAGAAATGTGCAATTTGCATCTTAGAAATAGCAGCATCCCCACAGGGGACCTTGTGAGGGCTGGAGACTCAGCCCCGAGAGGGCCGCCCACTCCCCGCCCGGGAGCCCCTCTCCAAAGGTGCGTGTTCGTCTTTCCGTTAGAAACATTTCCCGGGCGAAGGATTTCCCTGGGGCCCAGGCCGTGGGCGCGCACTTGGCTGCCGCAGGAGGCCACCCTCTTGCACGGGCTGGGGAGTTTGCTTTGCCTCTGGACAAACCAACAGGGCACTTGCCTCTTAGCACCAAGATGACGGCTCCTCCCGGCTCTCCCGTGCCCCTCCTAGGCAGGCCCCCGGCGCCCGCCCTCCTCGGGAACAAAGGGCTTGTGCTGGAGACCCGAACACAAGTGGGTGGTGGAAACCCGGGATCCGGATGACATCAGGAAGGCGTCCTGCGGGCCTCTGGCAACCTCCCGACGCGCACAAAAGCCGCGCTCAGTCGACTCAACGCACAATGGCCGGCAGGGGCGCGGGGAGCTTGGCGTGTTTGGTTTTTAACAACAATGATGGCACGGCCCGGCCCGACACAGCTCCACAGAGCCGCCTCTCGGGAGCACAGGGGGAGCTGCTGCACAGGGTGACCCGTTCCCTGGCACGCGGGGCCTGATGCCTCAGCTCCGGTCACACAGGTACCCTGGGGCCTGCTTTTCAAACAAATGGCAAGAAACCACCACCTCACGGGCACGGACCGGCGCCGCCTCCAACACCGCGCAGCGTTTCTACCCGGGGGTCTGGCTCTGAAAGACGGAGCAAGCGCCGGCGGCCTGCTGCCGTCTGACTGCACAGCCTTTACCCTAGACATTTTACCGCCAAGGCGAGTCCTTCTGCATCACCCACTTGTGCAGAAGAGCAGGAGCTGCACGGTACTAGCCGAGACGCTGTCCGTGGACACACAGTGCCCGTGTGCACACGCCGCGCGGGGGCCAGTCCTCGGAGAAGAGGCGCTGACGGCAGGGAAACAGACCCCTCGCGGAGTCCTGGCTGCCCCTCCCCACGGGTGCACGGCAGGACACACACGACACCGCCAGAAGAGGCGGCCACACTCCCTGCCAAGCAGCCCTGCCTGCCTGCCTGCCTGCTGTGCCCACCCGACCTCTGCTCTGCCTGGGCAGCAGCACAGGCCAGGTTTTGAGGCACCGCAGAAGCCTTAGGGCCAGAGACAAAGCAGTGACTGCACAGTCTGAAGCCTTGCGGTCATGCACGCGAAGACTGGATTTTTAGCAGTCAAGGAAGCAGGCTTGGCTCTGTCCATCGGTCTGATCATCAGGGCCTGCCTAGTCCATCCCTGACTTCAGGCCTCCGCCCCGCTCTGGACTGCGGGGCAGCTGGATCCAGGCTGCCCTGCCTGCCGTCTGAGGAAGGACTAGGGCCTCATTCCAATGAGAGACCAGGTTTGTGGGCAGGCGGGGCTCCCCAGGGCCTCTCTGGATCCAACTGCTCTATGAGCGCTCTCACCTCAGACACAGCCAACAGCGAGGCTACCACTGCCCCCCCCCCATCGCCCCTCCCTCCCAGCACTGGGAAGACAGATTCCAGCAGGAACAAATTTGAGCCGGGGCCTGTTGGTTCCATCTGGGACGCAGAGCTGGCCGGCGGAGCGAGCACCCGTGATCACCACTTCATCCAGTCGCTCGGCCAAATTCAAAGTCCACTGCTTTGCTGAGAGGTCACCCCCGGCCGCCTCTCCACCCGGTGTGGCAGGGCTGGGCCGCTAAGAAAGGGCCAGAACAAACAGCCTCGCGGGGACCTCCACTGCATGAAGCCCGGCTCTGAGAGCAGCTTTCTCGGGAGCCGGAGCTTTTGTGGAGGCAGGTGCTCTCTGAGGTCCGGGCAGGGAGGCGGGGAGAAAGGAAGTGACTTGGGAGGCCTCTGAAGAGGGAGCGCCCGTCTGGAGTGAGAACAGTCCTGTCAGCCTCCCCCGGGCCAGCAGCTGGCTCTGGCAGAGGACTGCCGGGCAGACCTTCCTTGTCTAGACGATTTTTCTTCTCTAGCCTACAACTGAGCCTTCCGCGTCAAAGGGACACACGACAGCGCACCTTCTGCCGGGTGAGCCTAACAGATAAACGGCCCCAGGGAAACGGCCCAAGGGGTTGAGGAGCCCCACCCCAGCGTGGCTCGCGGGCCGGCCTCCCTCTCCAGCAGAGGGCCCGCACCCACCCCGCTGCGATGTCGGAACCGACAGCGCTGCTCCAGCCCAAGGACTCTGGCCCGAGGAGAGGAAGACCGAAGTAACGGGGCGCAGGACGGGGCGCCCCAAGCAGCGGGCTGCGGGAGAGGACGCGTGCGGAAAGCGGGCCTGGCTCAGACAGCCCAGGGCCAGAGGAAGGGGACCCGGGGCTGGTTCCTGAACCCCTCACTGAGTGGGGGGAAAATCTACAAAAGCCACATCTCAGCCCTGGAGAAGGCGCCGAAACTTCCGGGGGGGACATCTCCCAGGCCAGCTGCAGCCATCAGCGCATGGGGGGCCTGCGAGGTGCCGCCGCACGGCCCAGCGCCCCTCCTTTCGCTTCTGGAGAGCAGGGTGTGGGGCACGGGTCAAGGCGCTTTGGTCCGTCCACGTAACAGCCACGGGCCACCGAGCGAGAGAAGGCGCTCTGACCCCACCATCGCTACCGGCCCCCCAAGCGCTGGCAGGCCCTCCGGCCAGGGCAGTCCGTCAGGAGCCCGCGACTCCTCAACACGCCAACGCTCCTCCCAAGTCAAAAGGCTCCTTAATGGCCAAGAATGAACATCACAATGAGCAGGAGACACGTACCCTAAATCCAGACTCCCCTAGAATGGTGACTGACTTCACTAACATCAGCTCTACCACCTCCTGTGAAAAATGAGCCAAACGCGAACAAGACATAGCAACAAGGAACACAAACATTTTACTGACTGATGCGTCCAAGTGCATACAGACAAGGGGGGGAGATGAGTCACCTTCTAAAACAGGCTTTTCTCCAGGAGGGACGAACCCCACCCCACCTCTCTCAGCCGTGCAGCCCCCAGACTGCCCCACCCCTTCAGCACTGTGCAAAACTACCGCGATCTGCCGAGCGACAGGGCTGCAAGCCGGCGGCTGCCGCCCACATCCCCCAGCACGGTGGGAGCAGCTCGCTTCCGGGCTAGCGAGGGTGCTTCTGTGGCGGCGGCTGTGTTCACGGTTTTGTCGCCAAAGCCCCGGGTACCTGCCGCCACGTCCCACCGGGCATCTGCCGGATCACCCTACACCTCTCCCCCTCACCTTTGATCACATTCTTTGAAGCACGAGGCCCAAACCCCGCTTCTTCACCACGGCCCCAGCACACGGGAAGGAGGGTCTGTCCAGTGTGCTGGGCTCCTTACCTGCCCTTCGCGACATGGCCCTGGCTGGTGGGCAGCTCTGCAGCTTGGCCACCCTAAAGACGAGCTGGTGCCGAGATCAGGCGGCTCTCTGTGTTCTGCATGAACTCGTCCACCACAATATTTTTTTCCTGTTTTGCTGTTTGGGTTGTAAATGAAATGTGAATACAAATAAAGCAACTGAGAAAATCTTCCCCAAAGACACCCCTCTTCGACCAGTGCACTCGAGGCTCTGGGGGCGTGCTGGCGGGGTGGTGTCAGACACAGAGATGGCTTCGTGCTGGGTGCCCCAGCCGTGGCCAGGGTGACAGCCTTCCCCCCAGTACCCACGTGCCACTTAGTTCAAGCGCGCACGTCAGATGTGCATTTCATGAGTAAAGTATCAAATGAGTATTTGCACTATGTGTATATGTAAATTAATCTGCATGTGCATAAACACTAAAGGGAAAATTCCAGGTGTCTGTTCTCTGAAGGAAGGCAGTCACTCGCCACTCTTGGTAATTCCTAAAGAGGCCTTTGGCGCTAACAACGCCACAGCCAAAATGAAAAGGATACAAAAACAGGCTGCAAAACTTGCCAAGTACTCACAGGTCACCTGCTCGAGACAGACAAGAGGTGGCCCCTGCTGGGTCAGGGAGGGTAGGAGAAGACACTTTAGAAGAACAATGGTTCAGAGGCTTTTGGTTTCCAAACAAAATTTCCTTCTGGGCAGTAGATGTTCCCGCCATCACCGGTCGGTCGTCAGAGCCCAGCCAGGTGCCCTGCCAGGCCCAGCTCCCTAAGGGGATGGGGAAGGAGGAGGTGCCTGACCCATCACGAATATGCCCTGCCCAAAGCTCCGACTTCTCGCCTAGTCTCCTGGGGCCACCCACCCAGGCTGCAGTGAGACCTGGAGGCCTCCGTGCTCTGGGGAGCAGGCGCCCTAAGAGCGGGCGGGGCTGTGGGCGAGGCCTGGACCTGCCCCACTGTGCCTGCTGCTCTCAGAGCAGCAGCCTCGGGGCGCTGGGGGTCTTCTGCTGAGTTTAGGACAGCTTGGTGAGCCAGGTCCTCCAATGCTTCAAAGGCACCTTTTCCTGTGATGGTCTCAATTTTAAAAAATGGATACAAGGGTTAGGTCGGAGATTGTGTTTCCATATTGGGGATATAAATATATACTTTAAAAACATTCTCAGACGCCAGCCCAGTGATGTCCAGCACCTCTGGGGCGACAGCCTGGCACGCAGGGCAGGCCCTGAGTGGGAGCCCAGGCTCCTCTGGCACTCACTCTGTGAGGGACCCCCACCTGCACACCTCTGTGCCAAAGACCATTACAGCTCTGACGATTCCAGAAACCCAGGGCCCCTGAAGCTCCCACTCTTGCTACTGGGCAAGCGTGGCTCTTTCTGCCCAAACACGGGCCGCTTTGGAGTAATGTGGAGAAAGGGCTCAGGGGCTGCGGGAAGTTACAGGCTATGGGGGCACACTCTACCTCCACCCCCACCACGGGTCTTTTTCAACTTTTCTCCATCTATACGCGTCCATATTTTTTTTTTTTTTAAAGGCAAACACATAGGTGGGTACATTAGACTTAACAGCAAATGTTTCCTTAGTTCATCTGATAAGAGTTCATGGTTGAAACTGCCATAAAAAAGCAGAATTACTGTAACAACTAGAGAAGAAATGATCAAATACTAGTGACATGACCAGCCTGTTTTTTAAAATTATGGGCTCTGCACTGATTATCCCATAAGGCAACGGAAGTCTGGCGAGAAACTTTGCCGGATACCACGTGACGCAGCAGCGATCTCTTCCAAGGTGATGCTTTCCTTGGGGAATGCAAAGAGGGGTACGTGGGGCTTCCAGATGTAGTTCTGAGTGTGCTGTAACTCCTGCCCGACCGTGAAGGGTGCGGGCGCGTGCGGCCCCAGCCATCTCCAGAGAACAGACACAGGGCATTTCCAGAGATGATGCAAAAGACAATGTACTGCTTTGCTAGCCAGTTTCTATGTATTAAAAGTGTTTATAATCTGGTATTTTATTAAATGTGTATAGGCGGGTTTATATGTTAAAAACTCGATTCTGTGTCTATGAATATGAAATCTGAACTATTTTATCCACTGGAAGGCAAAGGAAAGGTCCTACGTTGTGGGCGGAAGAACTGAAGAGAACTCTGCTCTCCCAGCTTGCTGGATGGTAACAGGCCGAAGGTGGCGGCAGGCTCTGGGCTGTCGGAAGTCTTGGAAGCTCTCCTGCGTGACGGTGCCGCACACAGGCACGGCAAGTGGCGGCAGAGAGTTGGGTTGGCCCCTTCCACGTGGCAGGTGGCATCTCAGACTGCCCAGTCCTTCACAGCGTTCGGTTCAAATTCAGTCTGTTTCTGAGGAGAAAACACATGCTTGTCATGTTCACGTTAGCTGCCTCTCACACGGCCCCCAGAGCAACCTGGGTGGTGCCGTCACTGGCTTCGGGGACCTCTTAATACACGAGCAATGCCTCCCTGCCAGCCCCTGCCCCACTCTCCACCCGAGGGAATGTGGAAGAGGTTTTGTGGGTCCAGGGCCAGGTGCTAACCCAGGCGCCACTGCCAAACCTCAGAGGACTATGGCTGCTTGCTAGCCAAGTCACATTTTACTCCTCTCAATAACCATGTCCCCTGATTTCATCCACTAAATACTTGCTTTTCCCTTCTCTCCAAATAAATCCTAAAGCCGCTTCCATTTAAAGAGTTGCCGCTAGCCATCTGAAACACATCTGATTCTCACCCACTCTACTGTTAGGAGTACCACTGTTGTACAGATGAGGACTCAGACGTAAAATTTAGTAAAATTTTCAATGTTTAATGGTTAACTGATTCATCCAAGGTCACAAAGCTGCTATGCGGGGAGCAGAACTTCGAGCCATCAGGTCCTGATGGACGCTGAGTTGATGTCCTGCCCCCAGGCCACATTATTCCCCCCCACCACCAGCCCAGCCCGCTCTCACCCAAACCTCAGCACTGTTCATCTGGAAGACAACAGAGCTTAACTGGCTTGCTTTTCTCTGGCCTTGTCTTTCTCAAATCCGTCCCCAATACTCTGATCCTCCAAGTGACCTTTCTAGAAAACAAATGTAGGTGACTCATCACAGAATCCACGAACTAGAAGCCACAGAGTTGAAGGAAAGTTCTGTTCAAAACTGATTTTCTGCTCATTCATGGAAAATAGGAGAACACACTTGAAATTTAGTGGGAAGAAGTACCTAGTGTGTAACCTAATGTTTCTATTTCTTTAAACATTGCTCTCTAGTATCCTCTTCAATGGAATTGCTTTACCAGCTTCTAATCATCAAGGAGCTGAATACTGGATGCTACTAGAGAGGACAGTTCAGTAAAATTTTAATAAAAAATTTGGTTTAAAAACCAAGAGAAGTTAATTTGTCCTAGTCCCAGCAATCTATGCTGGTATGTGGGCAAAGCCAAAGGGTGGATACAGCCCGAGAGGAGGGCCCTGTGCTGGACAAGACGCCCAAGGGCCCTTGCAAGCAGCCCTATGAAGCCTAATCTGTTCCCTAGTGCCCGTCATGCCCCCCGTGAAGGCCTCACTGACTCCTGGGGGCCTGGGGAAACACAAGGTTAAGTCTGGGAATACGAGGCCCCAGAACCAACTTCAAAAGGTCCACAAATCAGAGACTCTGAGACTCCAGACTTCCTCAGTCTCCACAGCCTCTTGCGAAACTCGTCACTTCTGACCATCCTGTGGTGAGGACGCTACACCTAAGGGTGGGGAGGGAGAGGGGCTGCAAACTCAGGGACCAAGACCCTAGAAAATCAACACCCAATAATATAACTTATCTCTGGCTTCAAAGCTGTGTCTTCAACAAAACAATCACTAATTTTTTGTACAATATAATGCGCCAGAGAAACTGAGGAACAAAACTTAGGTTTTTGATTCCACATACATCTAAGAGGGAAGGTGAAGGTGATCTTCCATTTCTTCTGTATCAGGAGGAACAATGAAAATGCGAAACGCAGGACTTCTGTCATTGAAACAAAGCACTTCAATATCTACGGAGGATTGAGGGCTCTCTTTCCTTTTGTTCACCAGTTTGAGTCGAATGTCTTCACAAGTCCTGCTGCCGTCCCCAAGCAGCAGCTGTGGCTCTGCCCGAGGCAGATGGCACTCTGACCTATTCTCCCTGCTGAAGAATGGCCAGGCCAGCCCGGAGCCCGGGGGCTCACTATGTTCCACTGGCCGAAACGGGCGTCCATCCTTACCGTATCACGCTACAGGGTCTTCTGCCGTCAACTGCCCGGAAGCAGCCAGGTGGATGAGTCCTGCTGCCAGCCTGCCTGAGAGAGACGCGTGCACCTGCGCAGTAAACTCAGTGCCCGCCCACCCTTCCGTGCCCCTTGCCATGCCCAGACCCGGCTCCCGTGAACTCCTTACCCAGCTCCAGTCCAGCCTGGGGACTCGGTGTGTCAAAGGGCTCTGAGGTGGCGTCAGGGGCGCTGGGCTCCCACGATTCGCTGTTCTCAGACACTTCGGAATAGGTGTCACTCACGCCCACTTTGTGAGCTGCCGCCGGGTCCCCCACACCAGGGCCCTGATCCTCACTGCCTGTGTCTGCCACGGCTCGGGTCTCCTCGCCCATCTTCTCCGCAAACCACTGCTTGACCTGCTGGGCGCTCATCTGGGTCTTGTCGCAGAGACTCTGCAGGTCCTCCTCGTACAGCGTCTTGTGAGTCGCGTAATAGTCCTGAAGCAGCTCCCGGTTGCCCGGGGCAATGACCAGCAGCCCTGGTGGGAAGTTGCCCCGCTTGTAGTCTTCGTACCACTTGAGCTGGCCGTTCTTCAGGGCGTACCTGCTGTCCCCAAACCAGCGCACCACCTCCGGCCGCGGCAGACCTGTCTGGGCCATGATGGAGTCATAGTCCTGGTTGCTTGGCCACTGTGTCTGGACAAAGAGCTGTCGCAGCAAGTGCCGCTGCTGGGCTGTCTTTTTGAAGCTCACTTTGCCTGGGGCCTGCTCCGCCGATTTGTTGGCACCGTCATCTTCGGGCTCACAGGCGCCCAGGGCCAGCAGCTCGCCCTTGCCGTTGGCCTCGGTGACCCGCAGGTTCTTGAGGTTGATTTTGATGGGGCTGACTTTGCGTTCTGCCGAGGTGTGGCTGCTGGATGCTTCTGGGGAGCAGTTTTCACCAGGTACCCTCTGGTCACTGGCGGGGTTCTCCTCACCCTCGTCCTCGGGGGCCTCCTCCTCCTCCTGAGAGGCGCTTCCGCCCGGCTTCTTGGTTTCCTCCGTGTTCACCCTCCTCCGCCTCTCTGAAAACCAGCTATCAATCTCCCTTCGGGTCATCTTCGTTTCAGTCCTCAGGCGGTCCAGCTCGTCGTCGAGAGGAAGGGGGTTTTGTGCAAAACTGCTCTCCAAGGCTCTGAGCTGCTCAGGGGCTCGCTCCTTGTATTTGGTTGGTGTGAAGTCAGGGGTCTGGTGCCAGGACTGCCGTTTGGCAGAAGGGTGGGTGGCCAGGGTGGCCGCCATTGGGATGCAGGTCACCTCAGGAGCCTTGGCCGACGGGGAGAAGGGCATCTCTGGCAAGGTGTCGATGATGATGGAGCCGTGCTCGCCGGGCATCACCGCTCTGGAGCCCTTCAGGTTCCGGCAGTGGTATCTCCGGTCACTGAACCACTTCCGCACCTCTCTGGTGCTGAGGCCCGTCACTTTGGTCAGATGTTCAACCTCGCTCTGTCCCGGGAACTGGTTCCGACAGAAGCTCCCTTTCAGAGCTGACAGCTGTTCATGAGATTTCTTATTTTTGTAGATGCTGGCATCAAGGAAGGCTTGGGAAGTTATGCTGGGGCAGGCAGTCAGGAGGGACTGGGCCGCATTGACCACCTTCACAGCCGAAGCTGTGTTTGAACACACAGTGTTAATGGGTGCAACAGCTGGTTGCTTAGGGACAGATGTAACTGTGAGGGGAAGAGATGAGCTTGGTGCCTGCAACCCGTTGGCCATGAGTGGCTGAGTGACCAGCAGTCCTCCTGCCGTGCCCTCTGGCTGTCCCACCACATGGCCTGGTAAAGCAGCCTGGATGAGATGTTGGACATTGCCAGCACTGGCAACCAGGGGAGTATTCAGAACGGTGATTGTGGGCTGAGGTACAGACTGAATGACTGTATTGAACATCTTTTTCCGGGCATCCTCGATCTCCTCAGGGGACCAGCTGATACCCTGCTTCAGCCTTTGGGCTGTGAACCAGATCTTGAGCTGCTCTTCTGGATACTTGGTGACCACCGTCAAGTAACAGAGCTCGGCTTTGGTTGGGTAGGGAAACTTGTGGAAAGAGTTCTTCAGAAAGCTGTTGGAGTCCATGGCTGCATTGTATGTTGGAATGCTGCTCAGGGGGATCATCACTTTGGGCAGGGACTTGGAGGTGGGCAGTGGCTGGTGGGTGTGGTGCTGGGCATGCACCGGGGGCTGCTGCTGGAGGGAGAGGAACTGTGCTATGCCTGCCGGCAAGACTGGCACTGTTCCTATCAGAGGCCCATTGGAGGCATGGGGGGGTTTTGCTGTGTTGGTAGGTGCCTGGCTGACTGGGATCCCCCCATTGATAAAGGAGTGGTCCCCCTCTTTCACCTCTGCTTCCCCAGCTGATGAGTTTGGTAAGGCCTCACCAGCGGGCTGACTGGGGACATTCTCCTTGAGCGTATGAATTTTTTTGGCTTCGGCTTTGCCTTTCATTATCTTCATGATTGGAGTTTTGGTAATGATGATTTCAGCCTGTCCATCAGTGCCCGCTTCCGCATTTGGCTCACCTGACTGCTCAGGAGTGCCAGTGCTCTCGGGGACACTCTGCTCCACAACTACATGATTGTCTACCTTGGCCACATTCCACACAAAGCTGGCTTCCCCTGAGTGACACTTGGCATTGTGCAGAGATAGTCCCTCGGGGGTTTTTGCCAGAAAACTGCATTCAGTGCATACAAAATTTGGGTCTTTACTAAAGTCTGTGTGCTCTGAGTTCATATGCCCCACAAATTGAGTCATGTCCTGGGATTTGAAATCACAGAATTTGCAGGAGTAGGAATAGCCATCCAAAGTGCTCCGATGCCCGTTGGCCAGTACAGTGCTGTCGGAACTGCTGCAGCTCTGGGCTGCCTCACTGCTGACAGCTGGTGCTTCTGGGGGCAGATCTTGCTGGGGTCCTTCAGGCAAAGCCTCAGCAGGCTGGCTTTCTGCACTGGCCTCCTGAAGCACCACAGTCTTCACCGGGATCATGCACGGGGTGGTGGATTTCCTCTTGCTAGCCATGGTGACAATTGCTCTGGGTGATCAGAGGGTGAAAGCTTGTCCCATCAAGGGCCTCGCGGTCCAAGATCCAGTGGCTCCATGAGGGCCAAAGAAATAGTTTCCAAGGAGAGTTTTTTCAGTTGTTTGCAGAAAGAAAATTTTCCCTATTGAAACTGAGGGGGGAGGAAAAAAAAAAAAAACGTTATGCTCTCTGAGGCTCTGTGTGTTTCTCAGACAGCCAGACACACTCCATAGCCTGCCTTCTATCACTGAGGCCTCTTCCCTTTTTCAAATCTTCAAGCCCTGTGTCAAGGATGAAGGCCTTTTCAGAAGCAGCTTAGCAGCAGCACAGATGTAGAGTCAGGAGCCTCACCTAACCCCAACTAAAAAGTGCCCTAAAGAATGACCTGGGGATGTTCTGATACCAGCTGATAGACCCAAGCCATAGGTTTGTGTTTTGTCTAAGTAACTCGACTTTCAAAAACCAAAAACAAAAAATCCTCTTCTGGACCTCCAAATTAATTCTGACCATGTCAGAATGAGAACAAAAGCCCCAGTGTAATTCTTGTTTAAATGTTTGGGCCAACAAGGGTTTTTCTTTTTATAGCCTTCCCACATACGACAACAAGACACCGCCTCTGCCTCTCCCAAGCTGGACCAGAGGCCAAATCAGCTACAGTGTGGACTGGGGCGGGGGTAGGGAGATGGCTGCTATCCAGCAGGTCTTTCTCTGCGGCCTTTTCCAGTCCTCTGTCCTGTCATACCCGCTCCAGGCCATGGCCGAGGGATCACCTCTGTTACTGGCTAGGCCCCAAAGGAGAGAGTCAGGGGACCTGCAGTCCCAGCCTGTGGCCCCACAAGCTGTCTGTTCTTAGCCACTCGAGGGGTGGTCTCACCTCAGGTGTCCATATTACACGTGAACATGCACTGTGCTTTACTTTTTTATTTTTCACTATTATATTAATTTTGTACCTTTATTGTTTCTTTAAAAGAAAACTAAAATTGGTCCTCCCTGGTGGCGCAGCAGTTGAGCACTGGGTTGCGAAGCTGTAGCGCTGGTTCAATCCCCAGCTGCTGGGCAAGGGTCCCACATGGCACGCAGACCTCTCCTGCTGCCCGCTGCTCCACTCAGCAGTGTACTTCATCAGTTTGCCTGTTCTGTTCCCTGCTCTGGCTCTGGTGAATTCTCTCACCCTCCCGCGCTTCTGACTGTACCCAGTGCTTGTAAAAATAAATAAATCTTTAAAAATGAAAAATAAAAGAAAACTAAAATCTTTGATCCATTTGAAACTCACTTCAAAACCTGGGGTAGGGCCTCCCCAGTGGCGCAGCAGTTGAACGCTGGGTTGAGAAGCTGCCCGCAGCCTCTGCAGTACTGGTTCGATCCCCAGCTGCTCCCCGGCCACTGGAGGAGGGTCCCGCATGGCGCGCAGAACTCTCCTGCCGCCCGCTGCTTCCCTCAGCAGTGTACTTCGGTCCTTCTGCCTGCTCTGCTCCCCGCTCTGGCTCTGGTGAATTCTCTCACCCTCCCGCGCTTCTGACTATACCCAGTGCTTGTATAAATAAATAAATCTTTAAAAAAAAAAAAAAAGCTGGGGTGACTGATTTACTTACATGTAAAATAGTTATATAGTAATTATTTCATGAGGTGTTACTAGAAAAGTTTTTTCTGTGATCCTTATTTTTTTTTCAGTTTTCTTTTCTTTTTTATTTAAAGATTTATTTATGCATACAAGAACTGGGGTATAGGCCAGAAGTGTGGGGGGGTGAGAGGATTCACCAGAGACAGAGTGGGGAGCAGAACAGGCAGACTGACTGAAATACACTTCTGAGGGGAGCAGTGGGCGTGTCAGGAGAGGTCTGCTGCACCATGTGGGTAGCTCTCTGGCTAGGGATCGAATTCATGCTGCAGTGGCTGGAGACAGCTTCTTAGTGCTGAGACTTAACCCCTAGTGCCACCACGGAGGTCCCTATGATCCTTATTATTAACATAACATCACCATGATCACTATTACCTGTCTTTTAGCAAATTGTAAAGCTGATAATGACTTAAATAGTAATTCTAATAACAAAATGATTTTATTAGTAATTCTAATAACAAAATCATTTGTTTGGATTTGATTTAAAAAAATGTAAAGAAAATTAAATTATCTCCATTACTCCTCCCACCCCCGATTCTTAGTAAATAAACAAAGAAAACTAACTTTTTGTAAGTCTAATGATAATGACCATGATAAAAATATTTACTATTAAAAACCAGTTGGTGTGAGATAAAGATAAGCATAAGGCCCAAATCTAAGCTCTTGTCACCATGGCCCCCACTGATGTGAAATGTCATGCACATATTTCTATTTAATTTTTAATTGTAAAAACAAAATAGTATTAAATGAATTTTAAGAAGACAAAACCACCTATAATTTTGTATGCCCTCCCATCCTGTTCAAATATTCTATATGTATCTTTATCAGAATGGACACTACTTGTGTCGGGTTTTTTTCCCACTGAACAATACACATCAAAAACATAATCTTCATAATTATATTAGAATGCATTAGTACATTACCACCTAGTAATGTACTACTGGGGAAATAATGCATCATCCTCTGCCATGAAACAGGGCTCGAGCATCTAGCTCTCCTAAGTGACCATAAGATCAACTCTGGGCATATGGGATGTATTAAATCTTCTATCAAGTTATTTCCTAAAGTTAAGTACACAGAAATAAGTGTCTCAGTTCAACAAGTATACACATTTCTAAGCTATATTGGTAAACATTTTAAATTAAGAAAGGAGAGGTGATAGGATGAGTCATATAGCAGATCTGTGGCAGAGATTGATATTCTGACTCCTGTGTTCTTTTTTACACCACATTCAATCTAAATACCAACTGAATAATAAACCCATTATCTTGGGCCTCCCTGGTGGCGCAAGGGGTTAAGACACAACCTATGAAGCTATCTGCAGCCACTGTAGCACTAGTTCAATCCCTGGCCAAGGAGCTATCCACATGGGCAGCAGACCTCTCCTGACTCGCCCGCTGCTCCCCTCAGCAGTATATTTCAGTCGATCTGCCTGTTCTGTTCCCCACTCTGTCTCTGGTGAATTCTCTCACCCCCCCACACCTCTGGCCTGTACCCCAGTTCTTGTATAAATAAATTAATCTTTAAAAAAATAAACCCATTATCTTTAATTATTTTTATATTATTTATATTATTTTGAATCTTCTTACATAGGGCTCAATGGTTTTCAGGATGAATTATTCCAGTGTTTTTTAAAATTAAAATTAAATTTAAAATAAAAATAAAAATTAAATTAAAATGAAATGGTTTGCCAGGGCTGTTATGATCCTTAATTTGTATAATGTTTTTTTTTTTTTTTAAACAGTTTTTTTTTTTTTTAAAATATTTATTTATTTATTTATTTGTACAAGCACTGGGTACAGTCAGAAGCGCGGGAGGGTGAGAGAATTCACCAGAGCCAGAGCGGGGAGCAGAGCAGGCAGAAGGACCGAAGTACACTGCTGAGGGGAGCAGCGGGCGGCAGGAGAGGTCTGCGCGCCATGTGGGACCCTCCTCCGGTGGCCGGGGAGCAGCCGGGGATTGAACCGGCGCGGCAGAGGCTGCGGGCAGCTTCGCAACCCAGCGCTCAACCGCTGTGCCACCGGGGAGGCCCCTAATTTGTATAATGTTTTATGCTGTCAAAAGAAGAGATGTATTATTTACTCTTATATCTGACTAGAGAACAATTATATAGTGGGGCTTACTAACAAAGTTAGTAAGAATCGATAATAAAAAAACACAAGGGAAACCATCCACCCTCAGGAATGTGTGTGGGCGGGACCTTGCAGTCCAGCAGATCTGTGGGCTAGAATCACTGGACTTCTGCTCAAAGAAAGGAGTTACAAAAATTCAGTCTATTTCTGGGCCTTCCTGATGGCGCAGGTCATTGAGCACCGCGCTGCGCTGTGAAGCTGTCCGCAGCCTCTGTAGCATGGATTCTTGGCAGGCAAGCGAGAATCCCACATGGTGAAGCAGACCTCTCCTGTCTCGTCCGCTGTTCCCCTCAGCAGTGTGTTTCAGTCAGTCTGCCTGTTCTGTTCCCCGCTCTGTCTCTGGTGAATCCTCTCACCCTCCCGCACATCTGGCCTGTACCCCGGTTCTTGTGTAAATAAATCAATCTTTAAAAAAAAAAAAAAATCTATCTATTTCTAAGCCTGACTCCTCAAGGGCTAGAGCACTGTCAAGCCCAGAGTGGCTAGTGTCACTCTCTGGATATCTAAGGGTCACAGTCCCTCCTGCATTCAGTAGCCATCATTTACCTGAGCACATTCTCTATGTGCTTTCTACCTCAAAAATTCTTATTTTTGTCAAGTCATGAACAGAAATAGCTTGCCCCAGTCAGATGTTATCACCTCCATAGTGAACACAAATTTATTCTTTCTCACGCTCAAAAAGGTGGTTATGATATAAACACAGAGGTCTCGGAATTAAGGGGATTTAACAGAGCACATATTTCAATGACTAATCTTTGCATAAATCACCTTTAAGTATCACTAGGCAGTTGGACAGCCTCTGCCTTAGCATCAGCAGAGACAGGAAGGTCGGCAGAGCTACTACTGAAGTTAAAGATGTTGGAAATGGCTCCTTGAAAGCCACCCCCCACCCCAAATTACCTTTCTGTATATTTCCTTTGCTGAATGCTATGTACTAGGCACTGGGTATACAAAGATTTTTGAAAAGATGTCATTCATGTACTCAAGAAGTCAATAATCTGTTGTGGTTATTAGGCAATAAATCTGCGTTCTAGCACTTGCTCTCCTTCTGGGCATACTGGATTTCCCTGTCCACCTAAAATTAGGTGTGACCGATGAAATGCAATCAAATGGGTCATCTCCAAGGAAAGCTTTAGAAGAAAGTACAGGTTCTGCCTCACTATTTACTCTCTAGCCGGGTTCAGAGTGTAGCTACTCTATTAGCCTGGATCCTAACGGGAGAACAAAAACTGATCCACAATGTACCCAAAGTGTGCATAAGGAGTAATGTTTGTTGTTTCAGGCTACTGAGGTTTTTGGAGTTGCTTGTTACTACAACATAATTCAGCCCATGCTGACACACACAGTATGGGCAAGTCAGACCAGCAAATCAATCGAAATCCAACAAGAAGCCAAGTGTAA